TCTCCAGCCCCAAGATAATCCGAATAATGGTCTGACTTCATCCTCACTGCAGTCCGGGGGCAACCTTCCTATTCCCCAGGCCGGGAAACTGCAGCTCAGGCTTGAGTAACATTGGCTAGACCCCAGAGCCAAGAACCCCTCATGTGAGTGCCACCCTCCCACAGAATATAGCAGATCCTTCTGGACGCCCGTCAGCGATGCCTGCAACACTGCTTAGTCCACTTGACACAAGCTAGAGTTATCGTCTCCATAAGACCCAGCTGTAGGGCATTTTCCTATTTAATGATTCATGGGGTAGGGCCCAGCCCATTGTGGGTGGGGCTATGCTTGAACTGGTCATTCTGTGCTGTGGGATTATTTTTCTGTATGCTGTGAATATGAATTCCTCTCATTGGTTAATAATAATAGTTGTTTGACCAATAGTTAGGCAGGATAAGTTTAGGTGGCAAAATCAAACTGAGAATTCATAATGGAAAGGTGGAGTTGAGAGATACCAGCCATTCGCCAGAGGAACAAGATGTATTAAAAACACAGGGAAAGCCATGAGACACGTGGCAAGACACAGATTAATAGAAATGGGTTAATTTAAATGTAAGAGTTAGTTAGTAATAAGCCTAAACTATAGGCCAAACATTCTGTAACTAATATTAAGCCTCTGAGTGATTCTTTAGAAACAGTTGTGGGATGGGTGTTTCACTGTCCAGGTTTCAGAGTTGTAAAGAAGGCAGCTCAAGACAAGTGTCTCATATACCTGTAATTCTGTTGTCATTATGTCTCTTGCTGACCAAACCTTTCCTAGTGCCTGGAATGCAGCCCTCGCTATTCCTATCTGCCTCCTCAGACCAGTGGTTGAATGTGTTTGAGATGACATGTCTCAGGAGGATTCTAGGTGTCACATGAACACATAGGCTACACAATGATGACATTAATAAACTCTCCATCTACAGAAGGAAGTAAACTATAGGATATGGTAATGGCGCTTGAGATACTTTGGCCATGTTATGAGAATGAATGGTGGCAGATACCTGAAGATAGTGCTGCTTGGAGGACTGCACAGCATAAGGGTGAAGAGGAAGGCCCAGAAAACTCTGGATAGACAGCATAAGGAAGACTGTGGGACCTTGGGTGTGACAGTAATGCAAGCATCTAGGACTGCCCAGGATAGGAACAACTGGAGAACTGCCATACACAGGTTGCCCATGCATGCTTAAGCTCACAGTCTACTCTCTCACTGTGAGGACTCTCACAGTCTACGGCCCACAGTCTGTGGCTACGAGGACGCTCACAGTCTAAGCTATGGCCCACAGTCTGCGGCTACAATGACTCTCACAGTCTAAGCTATGGCCCACAGTCTGTGGCTACAATGACTCTCGCTGTCTACAGCTATGGCTCACAGTCTACGGCTATCACAGTCTATGACTCAGTTCACAGTAGGGAAGGCAACCAGCAGAATGAGGCAGCTGGTCACAACTGCTGTCAGGAAGCAGAGATGAATGCCAATGCTCAGTTGGCTTCCTTCTTTTCGAGAGAGAGAGAGAGAGAGAGAGAGAGAGAGAGAGAAAGGTTTAATTTTATTGTTTCTAATTATGTGTATGTGAGTGAAGATATCCTCAGAGGGCAGAGGTGGCGGGTCCCCATGGAGTTGAAGTTACGGGTTGCCCAACGTGGGTACTGACTGAACGCAGGCCTCTGTAAGAGCAGTATGAGCTCCTAACCACTGACCCATCTCTCCAGCCCCTACTTTCCCCTTTTTGTTCAGTCCAAGACCCCAGCACACAAAATGGTGCTGCCCACAGTTAGGGTAGCTCTTCCTTGCCCACTAGAACCTTTCTGGAAACATCTTCCTCCTACACATAATCACAGGCATGTTTCCATGGTGATTTTAAATTCTATCAAGCTGACAGTCACAAATAACCATCACTAGACAAGAGTGAGGGCACACACCTTTAATCCCAGCATTTGAGAGGAACAGACCAGCAGATCACTGAGTTTGAGGCCATCCTGCACACTCTTGACTCAAAGGGGAGAAAGGGAGCATCACAAAGCACCCTCCCCCCTTTGCTCCCCACGGCTGAAGATTGGTGCTTCTCACCAGCTTCCACCCCACAGACTCCCAACCAGCCAACTACACAGGCTGTTCTTGCCTCTCTAGTAACTTCTGTAACTTCTCTAATTTGATGCTTCAAAAAGGGAGACAAAAAACCTCAAAGGAAGCTGTGCACGGCCCAAGAGTATTCAAATCTAAGAGTTTACTGGAAAATCCTGAGATTGTTCTGTATTGGATTTTCCCCTCCCGTTAGATTTTGCTCAATTTCTTATAATAAACTGACTCGAGCATAAAAACACATTCAGGAATTTATGTCTAATAGAAGAGGTTCTAGCAGGAAGTTAAAAAAAAACAACAACAAAATCTCACAAACAAACCAACCAACAAAGTAACTCTAATTCAGGCCATAGGGAAATGCTTTTCAGCCTGTCTTTGGAATGAGACACTCTTGTTCAAGCACCACAGAGTCCCTCATTTCCTTCCCTATGACCCTGAACATCAACCTCCCTGAGCCCAGTGTACTCATCTATAAATAGCGGTGACAGAGTGTGGTGAAATATTTATTTGCTTAGCACAAGTGAGGTCCTGAGGTAGACCCCTACACTACAGAAGCAGCATGAGGGGAGACAGAAAAGAAAGAGGAAGGGGTGTCTTAGCCAGGCTCTCTGGCTCATCCCTAATCACAACAGTTAAGTGATGTGGGCTGTCCTTCTGTCTATGTGTTGCTTTTATTGGTTGATGAATAAAGCTGTTGTGACCAATGGCTTAGCAGAGTACAGGCAAGCAGGAAATCCGAACAGAGATATGGAGAGAGGATAGGCAGAGTCAGGAGAGTTCTCCGAAGGAGAATGCTGTCATAACCTCACTGATAGGCCACAGCCTCATGGTGATGCATACATTAATAAAAATGGGTTAATTTAAGATGTAAGAGCTAGCTAGAAATATGCCTGCGTCATCAGCCAAACAATGCTGTAATTAATATAGTTTCTGTGTGATTATTCAGATCTGGGTGGCCAGGAAACGAATAAGCAGTCTCCATTTACAGCTAAGGAAAATGATGTATTGGGCCCAGAGATTCAAGGCCACCTGGACAATGAAGTAAGATCCAACATCCAATTTAAAAAAAAAATAAGTAGTCTTTGAATTATCAAGAAGATCAACAAATCCATCTGTGAAGTTCCTGGAACCTAGAATGTACTTAGGAAACAGCAGACTGTGTTACGGTCTCTCATGCCTAAGGAACAAACTGTCCCCAGCCCTCCACAGCCAGAAGACAGAACCTACATCTGCAGGAGAGTTTCAGGGGTTGACTGAATGAGCTTGGGCAAACTGGCTTCTAAAGACTTGGTTTCTCTGTCCTGTACCACGAGAGCAGCAAAGCCCTCTCTCAGACATCACAGAGAGATGGCACCCATGAATTGTGTGCCAGAGTGCCCATGTTAACAAATCCCCAGGAAGCAACAGTTTCTCAGTTCATGGTGATGATTATTCCAGAACTCTCCTCATGGGCTCTGGCACCATTTGCTCTGTGTATCCAAAGTCCACCATGTACCCGTGGCCTGAACACAGCTAGCCCTGCCTTGGCATGGTCGGAGCAATTCCCAGAACACTTCTGAATCACCTTTCCCACACAGGCCTTGACCACAGGCTTGGAGGCAGGGCCACAGTACTCTAAGCAGGAAACGCTATCGACTCTGGTGGCTCGTCTCAAGTGACTTGGTGGGAATGGACGCTGGGTTCACACACCAAGAGTTCTTCCTCGCTGCCTCATATCCCATAAAACGTGTGCAAGCGGGGACAGTAAAATGGCCTAGTGGGTTAAGGCATTCGCTGCCGTACATGATGACCTGATTTTAAGCCCCAGGACCCACATGGTGGAAGAAGAAAGCCAAATCCCGCAGGTCCCTCACCTGCAAACTACACATACACACATACATGCCACACCCACGCCTAAATAATAAATATAAGGAAGTTAGTGATAGAGCGCTTGTCTAGCAAATGGTAATTTAAAAAAAAAATCTGTAAGCTACTGGTCCAAATCATAGGAAGCCAGCTGTTCACACTTTCACTCAAATATTTGTTCGGCACCAGGATCAGCACCTGGCGGGTACCAGGTATTATTGGCTCTACAGTGGCACAGCCTATGTCCTGGGGATCTCAGTGCTCAATGGGAAGGTGAACCCTAAAGTCAACCACCTCCCTACTAAGATGAGTGTCCTGAGTCATAGACAAGCAAGGTTCTCTTACCAGCACCTGAGGTCAGTTTACTCTGCGCTCCATGGGTTTCTAGAGGGTTCTGGGGCCGCCTTTGAAGGCCTCTGCAGTGAATTCCTTCCCTCCCAAGCTTGCCCCCGGTCTTCTGAGCTACACTATTTTCTAGGTGAGGGAACTGGGGCAACAGGGAAGGGAAGTGATGTGCCCAGTGCAACTCAGCATGAGGTTAAGAAGTTTCGGTCCAGGCATCCAAACTTCCCCAGACAGTGAAGGAAGCCACAGAAATCAAGGAAGGGGCTGGGCACTGTCCTCAACCATCTTCCTAAACAAGCCCAACTGTGTCTGAAAACGCCCCAGAAATGGCCACGTCGCTCTGCTTCCTCGTGTCCTAGGAAAGAATGGTTCTGGGCTCTCTGCAAAAGTGAGCTTCCCTTTCAGTGAACCACGGACAAGGCAGGGGAGGTACTGTACTAAGAGAACAGGCAGTCCATGCAGGCAGAACGCAGCTTAGACAGGCACAAACGCTGAAGAGGTGCTCCATCCACCAACCACAGAACAAGTGAATCTACAGAACCATCTTGAAACTCAGCTCCGCCTCCTTGCTTCTTCCTTCCCCACAGGTCCCTTGAGGGATCTCAAGCTCTTATGGGTATCATTGCCCTCTTCGTGGTCACCTCCTTTTACCCCCAGCTTCAGGTTTCTGTTCCCCCAGAAAAACCAGCAGACAGCCCTTGAATACCTTTGCTTTCTCTGCTGGGCAGTATTGGGGTTTTCTTCTCTGGTTGCGGTTTCCCAGCCTTCACAGTAGAAACCCCACAGGCTGCTGTGTGGGGGACCCAAGGCAGTACTTCATCTTGCTGAGCTGTGCTCAGCAAATCTGGCATGGAAGGGAACACCCAACTTGAGACAGTTTTTAGTGTTGTTTGACCAGGGATTTCCATCTCTCCGCCTTCACAGTGAGATTTCAGCCCCTTGGAGCTGGTTGGGTAAGGCCATGTGGCTAACCCGACCAAGCCTTCCTTCCAGGGCTGTCTTTCTTGGTGCTACGGAGCAGATTCATGAAGGTAACTTTTCACCGGGCACCTCGAATGGTGCGGTCCCCAGCTGGCCCAGAATGACCTGCTGATTTAATCTGCTGATGAGGGAAGGACTGGGCACCAGTGCCCGAGAAGCTTATTTTATCAGCCCCATCTTCAGAGGAAAACAGGTCCAGAGCTCATTTGTCTACACTCAGGGTCGACACCAGAACCCATCGGAGCCTGGCCTCATGGAGGCTTCACCCCTACACGGTCTTCTTCCAGCTAAGAAGCAACTTCCCTCTCTTGGAACTTCTTCTGCCTTTGGCTGAACTTCTCTTCAGCATCTGTTATCAGTTACTGCTAACTGTTGTCTGTTATCAGTGACTATCATGCCTATCTGTCTAGTGACAGTCCTGCCTCTGTGTGTGTGTGTGTGTGTGTGTGTGTGTGTGTGTGTGTGTGTGTCCTGTTCAGGTTGTGAATGTCTTAGCAGTAGGATCTGGAGCACGTGTATAACAGTCACTGCAAATGGTCTTCACTGAAGACACAAATTTTGCCAGGCAGGGTCCTGAGCATATGGTTCTCACTTCCTTCCACTCTACTTATTTTCTGTGAAGTATGGAGATCACTCCATCTCACAGATGGGGTCCAGCTCAGTTCTACCAAGCTGACAGGCAACCCTCAAGAGCTGGAATCGATTCTCTCATATGCCTCAGCTCCTCTCTCGGCCTGCAATCTCACGGGAGGCCTGCCAAAGGAGCCCAAGGCACACGGAGGACCGTCCTCTTTCAATCCCATAGAATCCGGAGTCCCTGGCTGCTCCAGTGTAAATGATTCTTTGGTCATTTCTACACAAGAGCAGAGCGTGGGGCCAGTGAGGTGCTTTAGTGGGTAAAGGCACTTGCTGTCACTGCCGAACTGAGTTCTACACCTGGACCCACATGGTGGAAGGACAGAACCAAGCCCTACAAGTTGTCCTCCGATCTCCATGTGCATGCACGCACGAACACACACACACACACACACACACACACACACACAGAGTAAGAAAATGTTTTCCCTAGGATGGGGTCGTATAACAATTATAATTAGGTTTTACAAGTAAAAAGACTCATATACACACAAGTAAATAAACTCAACTTTTTCTTTTCTTTCCTTTCCTTTTTTTTTTTTTTTTTTTTTTTTTTTTTTTTTTTTGAGACAGGTCTCACTATGCAGCCCTGGCTGGCCTGGAACTCGCTATATAGACCAGGCTGACCTCAAAGGCACAGCCTACCTCTGCCTCCCGAGTACTGAGATCAAAGGCATGTGCCACCACACCTGACTCAAAAGCAATTTTACAAAGAGCAGAAACTCCTGCTCTAGCCCGTCCACACACGGGCTGACCTTGAACTTCAGAACTTCAGCAATGTATTACATCTGTAACACTCATCAGAATCAACACGTTCCATGTTTCCCCAATTAAAAAACAAAAACAAAACCCAAAACCTCAGCTTTCAGCATCCAGTGTTCACTGGCAAAGTACCAGTTGCTGATTCAAAGATGAGGCAAGGGGATGGCTTACAGCAGCCACCTCGCCACACAACCCTGGCAGAGCCTGTCTCAGCTAGGCGTCCTTGCAGACAGGGAGGCTGACTTAGGCCTTAGCATCCGTGAGCTGGCTTGCTTCTGGTGGCACTCACAAGCTAACTGTGCCATGAACTTTCGCTAACTTATATAAACTGCAGATGCCCACACCAAAATACTGAATCTCAGGCCAACAGCATCCCATGGATATTGGGAAGACTCTGGCTGGTGACAGCTGCCATGAGATAATCCCAGTACAGTGTTCCCCGATCTCACCAGAGACTGTTAGACAGCCAGTGCTGACAGCTGAGTGCCAAGATCCTCAGGTACCCGAGGGACCATGTGACCTCCCACACCTGCCTATCTGGGCTATCCTGTCCTCCAAATACTGGAAATGTATCAGATTCTGTTCTAATCAATAATTAACTATAACATACCTACTGTACGGCCCTGTAGGAGGTGCAGAGACTGGACAAACCCCTCATGTCATCCCCTAAAATGCTAACACTGTAACCAGACAGCGAGGCGTGGAAACAAAGGGAGCGGAAGAGAAGCAGGTAAAGGGAGGAGACAGGAGACCACAGCGGAAGGAGGGAGTCTCGGCCTGTGGAAGGATGGCCGGCTTCCACTCTCCTCTGCACTTGAGCATGCTACAGCGAGAACATACGACTCTGTCACCAGACAAGAATGTATTTAATTAAATTAGGTGGTTCTCCAACTCTCAAAAAATAAAAATAAATTAAAAATAACAGCACTGTTGACTTTGCATAAATGTAAGCCATATTTTCTGCCGTTTATTTGCAAAAGGAGCCAAGTTGAAGGACGCCACATGAAACACAATCCAAGCAGAAACGAGTGGCGGGCAACATGGTCCTCGTTTCTAAGAACTCTGGTTCTCAGCTGTATTTCAGATAAATTTCAAATAAAAAAATGGAACCAAAATAAATCTTCTAACAAGCCACCCCAGAAGCCGTCTGGCTTGGAAAGTTCAACCCCAAAGCCACGAGAAAAGAAGGAAGTAAGGGACTGCATGCTTGCTGGTGGGGAGTGTTTGTCCCCTTCCCTTCAGGACCTAACTCAGTATGGCTTAGAAAGTGTTGTTGTCAGTCATTTTCTGCCCCTTCTGCGTCTGCAAAGGTCCTTGTGTAGGGTGGGACCCCAGGATGCAGAGCAGGCCTCTACCCCTGCAGCTGGCTTCACTCCACATAAACCCTGAGCAAATGTTTAAAGAGTATTGATTTGAAGGACAGCCAGCGTGTCTGCTTGCCAGGGTGGCCTTGGTTCCCAACTACAGGGGTCCTCCTCTCCTGCTTCTCCCATGGCCTGCTCTAGGGCGGCTCAAGGACAGACAGGAGAATGAGGAAGGATTTGGGGTGCTGCAGGGGGCCACACTTATCTCCCCACTCCACAGTGTGGCATGTCTTTGAGCTCCAATGGAAAAGAGGTGCCACTCTGCAGGGCTAATGTAAGGGTTAAACTCAGTGATACTCCTTTGACACACTCTTCATGGGTGACCAGGGGAAAGGAAAACTGTGGAATGTAGTCAGCGCGGGTGACAGGTTGTAGGGATACAGAAAGTAAAACAAGGGACAGAGATGAGACCCACATACACACTCCTTGAGACCTGGCTCAAGGAGAGAGATCCAGTCCTGGATCTGGCTCAAGTGTTGACTTGCCAGCAACCTTCACAGAGGCCTCTGTCCAATCAGCCAATTCATGGGGGCTCAAGCACATTAATGCACTTGTTCAAGGCCACAGTTAACAGACAGACTTAGGGATGCCTAACATGTGCGTGCATGTGTCTGTGTGTGCGACTGCGTGCGTGCGTGCATATGCGTGTGCGTACGTGTGCGTGTGCGCATGCTCCTAGTACAGGATACCATCTTGCATGGGTTCTATATATGAGCTACCTCTTTAGGGTTTCCTAACCTTACTTTGGCATGAGGAAGGAGCAGCATTTTTTAGTACCCCAGCCCTTCTGGCATCTCCTCTTTGGTTATGTGTTTGCCTCCTGCCTCTTGCCTTAAATCAAAGCGAGGGAAGCCTGGAGAGTACCAAAGCTGGCCCGGACTAGGATGTTTGGACGTTGTCTGACTGATGTCCACCCCCAGGGGTAGATATAAACTGCTCCTCAGTCAGCAGCCAGCAGAAGAGGCTTCTGTGTTTGTGTTGATTGGAAAATCGTTTGTTCTCGTGACTCATCGTGAAAGCCTCCTCCCCTCCCAGACCAACACTGCCAGCCTCAACTCCTCAGCTCGGCTACCCTGATGGTTTTATACTCCCACGTCATACTCCTAATTCACAACTCTGGCAAACTATGAGAGCCAGGACAGGCTCGCAGACACGCTTTGGACATCAGCTTATCTCAGTTTCCCTATTTATAAAAGGAAAGCTGAGCTCATTTTAGGCTCCTTCCACCTGCAACTGGTAAAGAGGCTCCGCCCACCCCCTCGCACTTCACCCAAGGTTTCATTTGTATCCCAAAGGCAGACAGAAAATGTGAGCCAAGTAGCAGGCAAGCAGCTTGTGGCTGTCTCTGTGGCACAGCTGTCTGAAAAGGGAGCATCTGAATTGCCTCTCGGGCCCAACCCTGTGGCACTCGAGTTCCTTTGGAGGGGAGAATGCCTCTGTCTGGAGGTGAGGGACAGGGATGCTGTGTCTCTGCTTTTCAGGAGTGTCTGCAGCTGTGCTGAGCCTCTGCCTCTCCCCTGCGGACTGCGGAGTCTCCAGAAGCTTCTGGACTCCCGACGGCTGACTGGAAACTTTCAACTTTCTGATGGTAGAAATGCCATCTATGTGCTGTTGAAACCACACTTCCCGTTTTGTATTTTGACCATTTCCAGGTTTAAAATATGCAGTAAGATACTCCTGCCATGACACTGGACCCCAATCCCGAAGCAAAAATCCAAGACCCTACACAAACTCCACTAAGCCAGGGTGTTCCTCCAGCTAGGTGTCCTCACTGAAATTCTGATGTGTGATACTTCCAAGTCACTACGGATTCCCCCAGCACAGCCCACTGTAAGCCAGGCATTGCTCTACCTGTTACACCAGCGGATGAGAAATGAAAGCAAAAGGCAGCTGTGGAGTCTCCCAGGACAGTGGCTCTCATCATATGGCCCACGGGACCCTGAAATGTGAGTCATTTTACTGTATATGACCAAAATACCAGTCCCCTGAGTCCCAGGGTGCGTGTGTGCAGAACTATGCCAAGAATAAGGTAGGGTATGCAAATGAGTAGGGGTGTGTTCCCACTCTTGGTGACACCCCACTGGGTTTCAGCAGGTTCTGCGTTCAAGTTAAGGTTGT